GGTGTGATACTGCACCCACTCTGCTGTAGAAGAATAGTGAGTGGCTCAGAGGCCAGAGGGTAGTCAGGGTCAGGGTTAGGTGCCTTTATCTGTCAGGACAGGGAGTTTGGATCCCTTTCAAAGATAGCTGTGAGATGGCTATAAGCCAGGCGCTGGGGAACAGCAGGAGGCCTGCTGAGAACCTCCACCCATTTCCCCCTCTATAAAATAAGGATTTGCACCAGACAGTCCCTAAACTTTCTTTAATTACTTTTATATGCAGTTTGTATCATTCCTCTCCTTACGACTTCCCATGCCCTTAGCATAATATCCTTCTTCCTTTGCATCATGGTCTGCCCAGCTCCAGAGGCCACAACCCTTGCCTGCCTCTAACTTCACTGTTTGTCTTCTCTTCCTCAAGCCCAATGCTCAACTCACAAGCTTTGCTGTTCTAGGAACCCTCTTGCTCAGGGCCAGTGACCATGTTGTTTCCTCTGCCTGAAATGTTCTTAAGCAGACCTTTCTTCAGTTCATATTCTTTTTCATATTCTCTATCTCGTTTCTGTTTTATTTTCTTCATACTCTTGCTACTGTTGGAAATTTATTTATTTATTCATTTATTTATTTTTGCAGGACTGGGGATTGAACCTCGGGGCACTCCACCCCTGAGCTACACCCTCAGCCCTTTTAGTATTTTATTTTGAGACAGAGTCTCACTAAGTTGCCCAGACTTTCCTTGAACTTCTGATCCTCCTACCTCAGCCTCCTGAGTAGCTGGGATTATAGGCATGTGGCACTAAGACTGGTAGAAATTATTTATTGTAGAAATTATTTATTCAATTACTGTATGCCATGCTCATCCACCCCCAAGTATGCTCTGGGAGGGGAGAGACTAGGTTTACCTGCTTCATAGCTGTAGTTGCTGTGCTATGCCTAAAACAACTAGTGACGAGTTTATTAAATGAACTAACAAATTCATCTTGTGTAGCCCCTGTAGTCAATAAAAAGTATCAACCACTTAATAGGAGCTCAGAAAAACATATAACTGCAAAAACAATGATTGTTAAGGTTTAATGGTTGGCTCCCTGCTAAATCTTTTACATACATTGTATCATTTAGTACTCACAACTCCATGACACAGGTGTCACTGTGATCCTAGTTTTACAGATGTGAAGCTGAATCTTAGGAAGATCAAACAATTTTCTCAAGGTCATAGAGCTAGCAAATTAACCCATAGACAAAACCAGTCTAATTGTAATGTTATTTTTAACTGACTGGCTACTGTAAATCAAAATTGCTGTTTCCTCCATTTGGATTAATGCAACCTTATATTAATGCAACTTTATTAATGCAACCTTATAATTTCAGAGGGATTTAGGTGGGTAGCTGCTCCATGTGTGTCCTGGGCCTCGGGCTAGGCAGAGAGTGCTAGGTAGCTAGAGGATAGCTATAAGTATTGTGATACAGTTCTCGGCCTAGGGGTTCAGTTTAATAAGAAAAACAAAATCTGAGAGCATGGTAGAATACACTATTCCTTGACCCAAATACTCCTCATTCTTCCCACCAAAAACCTCAGGTGACTGGAGAACCCTCTCTCTTAAACTGTTCCCTTGGACCTTGCCCAGGCCTTTAGTTTTGCGTCCATTACACTGGATTCTGGTTAGCACTGTCTAGGAAGAACTGGGTAGCCATCATTTTCTGAGTGCCACACAGGGGCAAGTGATTTATATATATTGAATGTTTACAACAACCCTGAGGGGTGTCTCATTATCCTTACCTTACTAATAAGCAATCAACAGCATATTGAGGCAGCGGATTACAAATGGATGATAATATAGTGTCTGACAAGAATATGAGATCACAAATACTAGGACAGAGGGATATCTTGATCTCCCTAAATATTTAACACTGTAATTGTGACAAATACAGGACTACTTGGCTTTCTTGTTAAATATTCAATAAATCATGTATATTTCACTTTGTAAAATACATTAACAGTATTTTTGCATTTTTTGGAAATTGCAAATACATTCCCATTTTATTTTATATTTTTACCAAGATGAATATATAAGAAGCTTTTCTGTTATTATATTTGGGACACAGACTTTGAGATTTTTTATATTATATTTTCCTAATACTATATATCTATCATCTTCCCCCACTCTCTCCAGGGCAGAGGAAGCTACCTTTCTTCAAGGATTACCAATTTTTAAATTTAGAATTTAAAATGAACCAATTTAAATGAATTTAAATGAACCAATCCTTCCGTTTAATAGAAACACAGGAGCATGATAAGTAGTATTTTTAAAAAATATAATATTAGTCTCTGGCAGCCAATGAGTCATGACACCTTGTGAAGAAGGCCTTCAATAAAATAGAGTTGTGACTATTCCACATGAAGGCACAAAGCCATCTCCATAAAAAAAAAATACTAGGACAATGACTGTAATACTAAGGGGAAAAAAATGAATAAAAACATTTGGATTTCTCCTGGGCATTTAAAAGTGAGCCACTTCCTGCCCCATGTGAGCATGTGACACTGTCTCTAATAGCACTCTGCTCCACCAAGTAGCAGTAGAGACCAGGGGAAAGCCCCATGATGAGATCTGCTCTGTCAACTGCAGTCTGACGCTGTTTGAAGCTTGAGAGATATTTTATAATCAAAATACGCTCATATTTCACCCAGGTTAGTGAAATCACAATTGACTTCATAAGAAATCAGAGAGATGAAGATTCCTGTGGCTTTCGGAGCTTGGCTACCTTCACAGCATCTTTAGAGCCCGCTTTGGTCTCAGAACTTGTGTTCGACTCAACTTCACCTTTATTAAGCTCCTCTCCACTGCAACAAGTGTCACAGCAATGGGGAGGCCTCTCCTTCTGACTTACCTAGGAAACCATCCATTCCAAACAATTTAATGAAGGGGACATTTGTATATTTATTTAGTTAGTTTTTCTTTTTGCTGTTGTTGTTACTGGGGATCGAAGTCGGGACTTTGCACTTGCAAGGCAGGCGTGGCACCACTGAGCTAAATCCCCAGCCCTATTTAGTTAGTTATTGCAGTACTGGGGTTGGAACCCAGAGCCTTACTCACTGAGCTACAACCCCAGCTATTTTTATTTTCTATTTTGAAACAGGATTATTTTTCATTTTTTATTTTGAGACAGTTGCCTAAGCTGAGCTGGAATGTATGAGCCTCCTGCCTCAGTCCCTTATGTTAAGAATTTTAGTAAATGTTGTAAAATTAGGTAAAGAATACAAATTATTTCACTAGGCCCTAAATGAAACTACGTAGCTACAGAGCACAAACAAAGGGTTCTTTTTGTCTGTATTTCATAATGGTGCTAGAAATCTAAAAAGTTCATTGAGACTATGTTGTCTAAGAATTCCCTGTGATGTCAACCAAAAGACCCACAAACTCAGAAGTACACAATTCTCAGGAGTCTTAGAATAATAACAACCTAAACATGAAACAAATATGTGTGGAATGGACTGAAATACATAGTAAATAATGATTTTGAGATTGCAGAAATTTAGTCATAATTTATCCTTTTATCTATAGATTTTTAATTATAAGTAATGTGGTACCAAGGCCAAAATAGGAAACTATATCCTGCCCAGTTTCAACTCCAGTATTACACCCTCGAAGGTCTCAGAGACCATGGAACAAACTCCCTTTGATATATCTGTGGCAAAGCCCTGGGTAAGAAATGAATTTTCTCTCCCCTTCAACAGAGCTTAATTTATTCCTCCAAGGCTCAATAAGCACAGGGCTTTAGGCCCACAAGTTTCAAGTATCCTTGACAGTATTCTCTCTTAAAATCGGAATGGGTAAATAAATGTAATAAGATAATAACCTTTATATCAATATAATCAAAGTGTGTGCGCATGTGTGTGTGTGTGTGTGTGTGTGTGTGTGTGTGTGTGTGTGTTTATGAAGAAGAGACCCATTAATGCCTTAGGGCCCATGAAAGTTTTAAAGGGCTGAGGCTGGAGGATCACTCATTCCATCTCAGCTTAGGCAATGTAGCATGATCCTATCTCAAAATACAAAATAAAAAATAATCCTGTCTCAAAATAGAAAATAAAAATGGCTGGGGATGAAGCTTAGTGAGTAAGGCTCTGCCGCCCCCCCCCCCGGTACTACAATAGCTAACTAAATAAATAAACAAGTGTCCTTTTCATTAAATTATTTGGAATGGTTTCCTAATATGTCAGAAATTTCTTTCACCAGCCAGGGAAAGTTTTAACCTCACCTCACTGGAAGACATTCTTTTACCTAAGTCTTCTGAGAAAAGTGATTTTTGAGGTTTTGGTTGTTTAAAAAATCAATAAATACTCAGCCAGGAAGTTCCCTCCCTTAAGTACATTTTTAAAGAGAACCGGAAGGCAAAGGAGAAGAGCACTTAAGGGAAGCCCTGCCTGCCTACCGCGAAATGCAACTCCAAACTCTTTCTCTCTGGCCCTTGAACGCCGTATCCCACAGGGGTCCAGCAGGGGGCGCGCGGCTCCCGGCGCCCAGGCTGCGGGCTCCCAGCGCCTCAAGGACCCTACCGTATCCCCATTTGCCCCAAGGTCAAAGCTCCCGACCCGGGTTGCCAGCCCCAGGCCGGGGCGGACCGAGTGTGGCCCTCCGAGTCGCGCAGCCCGGCGCGGCTGGAGCCCATGGGGCGCGGGGGGAGGGCTATGAGTCCGGGGATGCCCTCACAATGGGGCCCGCGGACTAAAGGCGCCCGGCTGGGTCCGGAGAAGCGACGCCGCCGCCCGCGCCTGGAGGGGGATGGGGTGCGCGTAGCCGCCGGAGCCGGGGCGGACGAGGCCCGGCGACACTGCCACCGCGGGGATCGCGGAGCGCCGCTGCCGCCCAGGAGCGCGTCCCCGGCTCGGGGAGCCCAGAGGCGAGGCGAGCCGAGGCGAGGAGCTCCCGGCCCGGCTGGCGCCCCCGGGAGCGCGATTTCCCCGCCTTCGGCGCCTCGCCAGCCCGGCCCGCCCGGCACGGGCGGTCACCTCCGCCCGCCACCTCCTCCCCCGCCGCAGGTCCACCCGGGGTCCCCCCCCCTCGGGCCGCCCCCGAACACCAAGTTGGCGGGAGCCTATAAAAGCCAGTGACGGTGCGACCCGCGGACACACGCGCAGCGGGCTGGGAAGCTGCAGCCACCACAGGGGAACCAACTCCTGCACTGCCGCGCCACCATGTCCCATCACTGGGGGTACAGCAAGCACAACGGTGAGTGCCCCGATCCGTCCCCGAGGCCGCCGGTCCGCGGCGCCGCACCTGCTGGGACCCGGGCGCCGGCGCGCCGGGCTCAGGTGCGCAGCGCCGCCCCGCGCCCTCGGGCTCTGTCGAGGAAGCCGCGGGGCCGGGCGCTCCCCTCGGGGTCCCCGCCAGGCCGTCCCGGGACCTCAGAGGAAGCGGGGACGGCTCGCGACGGAAAATTTTAGCGGTTGATCTCGGAGAAATTCGAGGACGCCACCTCCCCACCCCCGCCGCATCCCATCCGCTTGAGGACCACTTGTGGCCAAGATTCCCGCACCGACTGTCCCGGGGCGCTTTCTCAAACCCATCTCAATTGTTGAGTTTGTCCTTTATTTCTCAACTAATAATATTCGAGGGTCGGACAGCCCCCGAGAACTGGGCTTTATCAGGAGCACAGATCTGGATTTCTTGAGCCAGCAGAGGGAAGGCGAAGATGCCCTTTGGCCGGTCGGGCTCACCTCATCTTTAGGGGAAGTGGGCTTTCCCACATAGCGGGGCCCTGACGATGAAGGGACGGTGCCTGTGCGCAGGCAATGGCTCTGTCCTCTCATCGGGGCCAGGACACGAGGGGGCTCTGCACCTGGATGCATGCCTCACATGAGTTTACCTATCCCAAATCCTTGACTTTGGTGTCTGCCCGATTTCAGTTGCTGAATTTATGTTTAAAAGACTATAAATATTAGCGAATAATTGTGCAACACTCAGTATTCGTTCAATGGACTTTGCATCAACCATTCGAATTCTCAAAACAGCATCTATGAGGTAAATTTGTAATATTACCCCATTTTGCAAATGAGGAAACTGAGGCACAGACTGTATCCCCAAAGGTTTCTCTTTCTCAAAGGTACCATTTATGGTGCCACCAGAATTTCAGCTGAGCCGATTGGCTTCAGAATCGTTGCCCTTTTCTAGGGGTCAGGATGTTCTTTTGCCCACGCTGGGGGATTCACAAGTGTCTTCTCGCCTTCAGGCCCTGAGCACTGGCATGTGGACTTCCCCATTGCCAATGGAGAGCGCCAGTCCCCTGTTGACATTAACACCAGTGCAGTCAAGTATGACTCCACCCTGAAGCCCCTGCGCCTTTGCTATGACCGACCCACTTCTCGAAGGATCATCAACAACGGCCACTCTTTCAATGTGGAATTTGATGACTCCCAGAACAAAGCAGGTCAGTGTTTAAAAAATAACTTGTGCCTTTTAGCCAGTAGGTGCCTTCCAGCCTAATGGAAGAAATTAAGAGCAGTTGTAGGAAACTCCTTAACACTACAGTTTGTCTCAGTACTGTGAGATGTCTGGCTGATTGTCTTCATTAGATGGCAAAGATAGCAAATTCGGGCTTTTTCTCCCTTGTAAGATGCCTGGCTTTTATGAAAGCCATTTGAATAATCACAATATGGCTGTGAAAAGTTACAAGTTATTCTGCATTGTCCCCAGACAACACAGATTAGACAGAATGAAATTTGCAAAAATTGGAATTATAAGATTCTTTCTAAAATATGACCTCCAGAGTTGATGCTTATCCATTAAAAATTATATCTTAGGGGCTGGGGATTTAGCTCAGTGGTTTTGCTGCCTGCTGCTCAAGCTCAAGGACCCGAGTTCGATCTCCGGTACCAAAAAAAAAAAATTATATCTTAGTGTGTTATTGCCAAGGTAGCAGTGAAAACAGTGAGGAAGACCTGTCAATTTAACATAATTTACACTCTTGGAAAGCACTGTATTCATGACCATTTCTCGGAATTGGGCTATTGTGATAAAGGTGGTGGCATATTTTGGTATCTACCTAGAAATTCATGGCACAAGCAAAAGTGTTCAGATTTGGGGAATATGCCTGGCTCATGACTGACAAATCCAGTTACCGTAAATTATTTGTATTAGGGCTGTTTACAGGATGCCCACTGAATACTTCTATTTTATTTAGAAACAGGAGAGGAATCTCATTTAGACATAGTAGCTGCCTTTTTTGTTCACTGGTTGATTTAATTGCTGGTGTCCTATTTTGCTGAGTACTTTCCTCTGAAGGTCACTGAATGAAATGGTGCTGCCAACCCATGGTGTCTGGTGGTAGTATGAGAGTAGGAGTGGGAGATCAAAATAAGAAAGGACAGAGGAAATGTTCAGTAATGCTGTCAGAGTTTTGGAGTAATGACCTATGTTGCTAATGTGTAACATGTAATTAAATCCATTACAGGTTGATTATTTTCTAGTAGCTGGACATATTTTCAGTTTTGAAAAAGAATTCTTCAATCTCTTTTTGCAAGTTTTGGACTTTGGCTTTCGGAAAAGGTGATTCAGGAAGGCAATTTAATAATAGCCATATCCACACTTTATGTGGAGATTTTCTGAGAAATGTTTTCAACCTACCTGTTCTGTGTACAGACTTCTTTAGTACACACACACACACACACACACACACACACTCAACATACACAAACATAGAGAGTCACACTGTGTGGCTTTATTATGGTTACAGTCAAGTAGGAGATTATGTTGAAGACATTTTTTCAGTGATTTGGCTTACGTTGCTTTGCCAAGTATTTCTCCCATTCTAAGGAAGCAGTGCTCAAATGGAGAAATATAACACAATTCTTTTGTCTTAAAAAACTATGATATATATTTATAATACGATAAAAGGTCTCAAGATACTGTACATACAGAAAGGATCCCCTAGAATTTTATTTTTAGTCATTCTAAAACCACAAGAAGTGTGCTATTACTCTATATTAGTCTATAGGTCTCAAGTTCTTTTTAAAGAGCCACAATGGAATTATTGTTATCAATGGATCTAATGCCCAGCTTATTATTCACCTTATTGGATGCTACATAGAAATTTAGAATTGGATGCTTAAAGTGGGTGTTTTTGCGAACAATGAGGAAACAAATGGAAGCAGATGATACAATTCCCTCAATGGTAGTTTTTACAAAGGTGATTGTGAAATTAATTGTTCCAGTAGTGTATATTCCTGGAAAGTTGGTTTCAGCTTTTACCCTGGTGGCTGTGAGCCTCACTTCGGAACAGACAGACCTGAATTTAAGTTTCAGCCCTGCCACTAACCAGCTTGGTGGCTTCTGAAATGCTATAGTAACTTAACTTCTCTAAGTTTTAGGGTTCTGTAACTGTGCCATTGGAGTAGCGGTAGAATGTGCCACAGAGGACGGTGTAAGTGGACACTGTGTGTGTAGCGCCTAGCCCAGGGCCGGAGTGCAGCAGCTCCTGAGTGGTGACCTCTGTGACCACACACCGTCCACCTGCCTTTATTATGCTACTGCTGCAGCTGTTGTGCCTGTGTTAAGATCTCTGAAGAAACTTTAATTGGCTTTCCAATTAGGTTCATGTGTTGTGAAACATCCTGTTTATCTTATTAAATATGAGCTGCTTGTATTTATGAAATTATTATATAATTTCTTTCACCTTGAATATATTAACATTTGGTGGATATCTGCATGAGCAGTAACTGATTAGAGCTAGCCTGATTTCCCACCTATTTCTTCTGGTGAATAATGGCTGTACTTAGATTGTGAAACAGAATAAAAATATTTGATTTAGATCGGGGTTTCTAACTGGTGTCTTTAGAGACACATGTATTATCATCCACTAATTCTTATACAAGAAAATCATTACTAACACCAGTTAAATCCCTGATAAGTTAAACTTCACAAAGGTAGGATGAGGGCCAGGTCCCTCTCCTGTATCCCCAGATTTTACCATTGGGTGAGGATACTTAAAGTAGAGAGACATAGAAATAACAGACACCAACAGTCACTTTGATAAGTGCAAAACGTAAGTATTCTAAGGGACTATGGAAATATGAAGGAAGCTTAGGAGTCTAACTGGGTACTCAGAAAAGGGTTTTTGGGGTAAATAAAGCTTATATGAAGTCTTGAAGGACTTTGATATCTTGAAAATAGGGAACACCAGGGGATTTAAGAGTACATAGTATGGGTTCCAGAAAGGCAAAGAAAAAGTACGTTAAAACCAAGGGTCAGCAGTATTAGAGAGACTTGCTCTCCCTTGCATATGAAAGACTCCTTTGTAATTTTGCTAATATCTCTTTCAGTTATTTTGGTTAGGCAAGAATGCAGATTATATTTCAATGTTGATATAAAAGAAAAACCCATCAACAAAATAAATTAAAAACTGTACCATGTGGAAAAATACCCTTGAGACTTTTTTTCAAAAAAGATCTTAGATTCTCAAAGTGAGAGCAAATAGTAGAAATTCTGTAGCCAACCCACTTAAAGAAACATGAAGAAGCAGAAAGCTCAGGAGCTTAAATGACTTGCTAAGGCTTCTTCCTAGTTTGCTGGAGAGACCAAAGGGCAATCACATAACAAAAGAATTTGAATAAGAATCTTTGGATGATAGCCATAATTAAAACTTAGTGCATATTTACCGTGTTTTAAATCTTGTTATATTATTTTGTGCACTTAAATCAAAAAATAACTCATTATTTCGGTTACTTACTGACCCTTTTATTTGGAGTTATTTGTGTTTTTTTTTCCTTTGGAGGAGTTATTTTTGATATTAATATTTTTAGATATTCTTTACCTCTTATTTTTGCTTCAGTTCCTTTACTTTTCTCCTGTCAATGGGATTTCAGCTTTCTAGAACTTCTCATAAGTTCAGATTTCCCAATATGCCCTAAATATTATCTTATGTCCAAGCGTAAGTATCCAGGTGTAAGGAACTAAGCTGGTTGAGTTTATTGCTATTTAATCTGGAGATAATTCTTTAATGGGCTTTAACTAGGAGCTTGGTTTAAAGTTCTCATCAGTTTTCCTAAATTCCTTTATAACAAACCACTTTAATGAAAAATTGCTAATACTTTTACATATTTTTTAAATTATTAAAAAATAACTCTCCCTGCTTGAGATATTTGCTTGCCAACTTTATCTGGGAGAAACTAATAATAGTCAAATTATTAACTCCTGCTAACTTATTAACTTTTATTAATGAGTTTAAAACTCCCCTGCTTTATCACAAAGTTAGGGGCAGAAGTGCCTGAATGGTTGAATCATCCCATATATACTTCTTATTTCTGTTTTTTTAGATATTGGAATTCCTTTAATGTTTATGTTATTTCAAGAAAAAAGAAAGAAGGAAACAGAATGCACTTCATGTGTTCCTTTCAAGCAGACCATTGTCCATATGACATAATAGGTCTTTGAACCCAGATTCTGGTTGACTTTTCAAGGGACTTTCTTTTGAAGCTGCAAAATTCTCAAGCAATCACAAATTGAAAGAAAGCAGAATGACAACAAATAAAAGAACTTTGCACGTGATATAAACAGAACCCTAAATAGCTGGAAAACTGACCAAAGCTTTAGTAAATTATGTTCCTGTTGAAAGCATCAATTTTACTCCTGTGTAATTTCTGTGTAGCTTAAGCTAAAACTTATTCCTTTAAAATTTGACTTTGTTTACTCTAGTGAAAGTGACAGCTAAACATTTTTGTTTAAAAGAAAAGGAATGTGTGCATTTCTCCCCTACCCTGTGAGTTTTTCTCCCTCAACACCTAGCCCTAGAATGAATGACTACTGTCAGTAAATAAAACACATGATTTCATCAGTAGTGAAAATAGTAATGTGTCATCCAAAAATTTTCAAGATAGTCATGGAGAAGATTATTTAGTTCCTAGAAATGTCATTTTTTTCCTATGGAATTATTCATTTACTTCATTACTGGGAAATTGCTTAGATTTTAGTTAAACTAAGGACAATTGATAGTAATTTACTTGTATTTTGGATTTAAGAGACTACTGGCATACACCAAAGGGTCTTGTTTGTTATTCAGATGTGACTAAATTAAGTAGCAATAATAGTGATTAGGAAGAAAAATATTCAAAAATTCTAAATTTTCAGTTTTATTTCATACAGGTAGTCTGACATTTCAATATTACCTAATCTCCTATTATTAATAAAAAACCAAACAGTTTAATAATTTTCCATATTAATGATGTACAAAGGTAGATTATTGTATAATGTTATACCTGCTGATTATTTTGTGTTTAATTGATGCCAGATCATGAAAGTTAAAACTGGCTGGAGCTCTTGAATTTGAATTTAATTTAAATTTTGAGGGTTTTGAAAATAAATTAAAGTACAAAGCCCATTTGTATTTCTGCATCCTTTGTGGAACACAATTCACAAAAATCATGTATTCCAGATTGGTTGATTGATTGATTTTTGTGATTGCTACAGGCCATTTTGTAAATTGTCACAGCTTAAAGTAAAATCTATTTTTCTAAAGAAAAAAATAATTTTTAAAAACAGAAGAAATTACTGATTTTTCTTTGTAAAAATCAGCCATGTAAGTGGCACTATGTAGAGTCCAGACCTATTGTACCACAGAATGTTTTGTTTTAACAGGAGCTAAAGCAGGTATCTGATGATGATAGAGCAGCACTGAATGCTTTTAATAATTGAACCCAGGTCTCCTCTTGCCCCTTTTAAAGTGCTCATTAAACATTTTAAAATAAAAATACTACAACTCTTGCCTGATTCTAAATGTTCTGTGAAGCAAGTATATTAGAATACAATTTCAAAGCAGGGATTTAGCTGAGTGGCACTGCACCTGCCTCGAAAATGCAAGGTCCTGAGTTCGATCCCTGGTATCAAAAAAAAAAGAAAGAAAGAAAGAAAGAAAAAGAATACAGTTTTAAAGTCTGCAAGAGAGAATAAGAAATAGTGGCAATCTTTATTTTCTTACAACTTAAAATCCTGGTAAGATTATGTATAAAGGAAAAAGGGGATACATTTACAAAGATCAAGGATACATTTATAAAGATAGCTAACTTAAATGCTTAATATAGCTTTATTTAAATAATTTTGTCAATGGGTAGAACTAATGTTACAAATGACATTTGTTTTTTTATGATCAGTCAGTTGGTTACTAGCTTTAAAGTGTTATTATACAGGCGTTTATCACTTTACTTCATAAACCTGTATTCTATTTTTAAGTGCACATTATTATGAAAAAAGCAAGTTCTCCATTTCTGAAAGACCTAGTCTGGGGGGGGGGTAAGACTAATTATTTTTTACTGAAATTTCAGATAAAAATAAACTACCATAAGCTGATTTTGTGTATCAAGAAATGTGATTTTATCTGAATGCGTCCAAATTTATGTGTCTTAATAGATCCGTAATATAACACCCTTTATGATTCATTCTTTCTGCTTTCATTCTTCCAATTTTCTCCTAGCCTATTATAAGGCAGAGCTGGCAGGCAGAAGTGGTATCAGGAGACATAAAAGCCAATCTGCCCAAGTATCATGTACTAGTTTCATCTTTTACTTTGAATAGGTGAATGAGTATTGCTCCACCTAAGCATATTTATGTGAAGTTAAGGGAAAAAAAACACAAACCTTTATTGTATAGACCTTCTCCCTTTGTCTTGAAAAGCCAAAGGAAATTTGAGATCTTTCTGTTATGTTGTAGAGTTATAAACCAAGGCTAATAAAATGAATTTAAAGCAACATTTGTTTTAATTATTGTACTAGAGAAATAAAACAGTAAAACTAAACTACTTTTAAAAAAATTTAACTATATTGGTTAAATCCCATCAATACATATAAGTTAGGTAAAAAAGGTTTTTTTTAACAATGATTTCTCACTATTGTGATCTGCTTAATACACAACTTGTTAATTATCTACAGATAGATATTGTTGAAGACTGGTTTCTACTATTGATTTTACTGAATAAAGTTAAATTAATACCAGGATAATAGAACTTTGGTATAATTATTATAGTTAGAGTTTTAAGTCCTTGGATATAACAGAGCACTATACACTTTATATAGTAGATGATAGATCAATTATTAGTGAAGAAATGCATAATCAAATGTATCCATTTTACAAATGAGGAAATTAAAAATTCAACAAAATCTTACGGGGACAAAGCCAATTCATAACAGTGTAAGGATAATTCAAGTCAATGAGATACTTATTATTTTATGAATTCTAGGATATCAGAACTGATGTCAGAGGTTAGCAAAGGAGGCTCTCTGTCAGGCAGGAACCAGTCAGCCATGGTGGAAGCATGGTTCTCATGTTTGCAAGTATGTGAAGCAGGCCAGTATGTTGTCAAATAGCTGCCTCAATTCTTCTCAAGTGATTCACAGATAAATTATTAGTTGTATTTAAATGTCCTTTGATTGGATTTGAACAATGACTCTACAACGAACCCACAAGAGAGGTACTCTTTGGGAAAAATCTCCATCCTTCGGCCAGTACCTGTGAGAAAAAACACCAACTGATATGATTTTCTTCAGTATGTAGACTAACTCTGGGGCCGGGGATTTAGCTCATTGGTGCCATGCCTGCCTCGCAAGTGCAAGGTCCTGAGTTCGATCCTCGGTACTGGAAAAGAGAAAAAAAAAAGTATGTAGACTAACTCTGAATCTATATTTAATTTTCACAGAGGGAAAATGTAGCTGTTGTACATTTAGTGCCATAAAGCATGTGTAAAGAGGTAATAGCAGTGTGTTTCATGTGCCTATGTATGTATGTGAATCTACATATGTGTATGTGTATGTATATGTACACAGATATATTACTTACATGTAATTTATATTTAGAGCTGAAAGATGGACCCCTGGATAGCACATACAGATTGGTTCAGTTTCACTTTCACTGGGGCTCATCTGATGGCCAAGGTTCTGAGCACACTGTGAATAAAGTGAAATATGCTGCAGAGGTAAGATACTCTTTTTTACAGGGAGAAATGTTTGTAAGTCATTAGTATTAATTTAAAAAGTTTAATTGTAAATTTAACTCACATTTGGTGAACCACTTCTTTTCCAAAGGATCTTCACATTGGCTTCTTATAAGCTTTAGTTGTACAATTGAAATTAAGGTTCTAAAACTTCCTCTAAGGTCTCCAAGGACACCATTTGTAAAAAGTGAATGAATTGAAATGGGAGGAACTTATTTTAATATAAATCTAGGAATAAAATTCATGCTTTCTCTTAAAATTCTATATTTCTTGGTCTTCATGTTGTTGATGAAATTGCTTGCTAGTCTACCAAATAATGGATAATTTGAAAAATTATTCACATTTTAACTTTTTTTAGTATGCATTAGTTGTGGAGAAAAGATCATTGGATAAGTTCTGTTGGCTTTTATTATGTAAATCACTCATTGTGGTTTTGTCTCCCCTGGTTTTAGCTGCACTTGGTGCACTGGAACACTAAATATGGGGATTTTGGAAAAGCTGCACAACAACCTGATGGACTGGCTGTTTTGGGTGTTTTTTTAAAGGTTAGTTAATGGCCCAATTCCTTGTTTCTTGTTTTCAAGAAAGACTGACCAGATAGAACATTCACAACAGACAGGACATTCTTCTGCAAAAGACTTGAAGAAATGCCTTCAGCTCTGAAGTACTTTCAAGTTTACTTGTTCCTCCATCTCCCCATTCCTTCTTTCAGGAGGTCAGAAAGACAATTTAGGAGGCAATTTAGAATGATTAGATACTATTTAGATGTAAGGCATAAAGAGGTAAACTTCAGAAGACTATCAGGTGTGTGTTTTTTTAATTTAACCTGAAGCCAAGGTCACTAAGGTATTGTTTTATGATAGACAATGCTAAAGTAAGATCAGGTTCTGGAGGGGTCAGGGACATTGGCTCAGTTCTGGAGAATTTCAGGCAACAATGGGACCTCCCAGGTTGAGCTGTCCTCTATCTAGCCAGAAGTAAAGGGGAGTGGAGGATAGGATGGGCTAGAGATTCATGAGCCCAGAGACCATGTGCTAAGGTGGAAAGTGCAGGTATTGACAAGTCATCCTAGGACAGCACAAAGAGAGATGATGAATCAGGATGCTGTGCCAAGAAACTGCAGAATGTCAGATTACTAAGTCATTGGGAAGATGCTGATAAAGTGACCAAAAAGGAATATGAGAGTTAGGGTCTGTTAGGAGGTCTAGAAGGCATACAAACCAAAGGAGGGAGAGACTTTTTAGAAAGAAGAGCATGCAAATCCTACAAGGAAGCTAGGTAAGGTACAACCTTGAAGAGTAAGCTTTACTTTGGCAGTTGGAGGTCACTGGAGGCATTTGAGAGGGAAGTTTTAGAAGAACTACACAGACAGAAGTAGAGGCAATTTGAAGGTTCAGTGATGGTAGGGACATCTGTATATTATCAGCATCTTCGAGCTAAGACAGATGGGTAGCTGGTGTAAAGTGGTACATTTTGTGGAGAAATTTTGAGACAGTGCTGTCCAAATCAAGACTGGCACGTAGCAAAAGCAGCTGGTTTACTGCATCTTGTCTTTTGTGTTTTTGTATAGATTGGTAGTGCTAAACCAGGCCTTCAGAAAGTCCTTGATATACTGGATTCCATTAAAACAAAGGTAAAGTTTAATTTTCTACCACTTCATTAGGGCACCTATTTTTTTTTTTTTTTTGGTACCGGGAATCAAACTCAGGTCCTTGGCGCTTGTGGGGCAGGTGGTGGAACCACTGAGCTAAATCCCTGGCCCAGGGTACCTATTTTTAATATTCTGTTGTTTTAGAAATTTCCTTTGATCAAAACAAATAGTCTTACTGATGTGTAGGGTTTGGATGAACAGCTAATAAAGATGAAGTAGATGTTTATAATAGATGAATTATATGTTTAATTAATTTTTCCTTTTCCAAAAGTTGAGCCTAATTCTAGTATAATTCTTAAGACTGCTGGTTGCTTAATCTTGCTTCGTATCACTTGAAGATCAAGAGATGCAGGGAGGGAGAAGAGAAGGGAGGAAAAGGGGATGAAAAGGGGAATTAAGATGTGTTGTATACACGTACCAACTCTACACAAGGGATGTAAACGTTATGTATGGCAAACATGTACTAATAAAAAAATAAGAATTAGACAATCTTACAAAGGCATGGAAGCTAAAAATTATCTGCACAAATTATTCAGTCATTCATAAAGCAAGTACTTGTAGAATCTCTCTATGTTCCAGGCACTTTGCTAATCCAAGTGATACAACAGTGAACAAGGTGAAGAAAGCCCTGCGGCATGGAGATTTATGTTCTGTGACTTCTTTGAATTCATTCATCCTGTGTTTAAATCCTCTCTACAGCATAGCTGTGTGGAGGTCACTAAACATCTGCTTAAATACTACAGTCACTTCCAATGATGTCCTCACCAATGACAACCCATAAAGCTCATCATTCAATTGAAACAGCATCTATCTTTTAAAATATGCACTCTTTCCTCCTACTCTGACCCCCTTCAATTGTATGCACCTGATCCTTCTTCCTCATGCCTTTACTGTCTCTCTCACAGCCTTTCATTTACTGTTCCTAGCCTAATTATCTCTAGTTCCCATTAGTACTTTTCATACAACGTAGTTTTATCTCTTCGCAACAGCCTTGTCACTTTTCCAGTAATGCATCCTGTTTGTGCCTACAGCTTTGAAAGTATAGTACCCAGAACTGAACGCAGTTCTTCAGTTCTGATCCAGCAGCCAAGTAGCATAGTAAGACAATCACTTCCTCCTCAAGTACACTATATTTTCCTTACTGTAACCTAAATTTATTTATCATTTTAGTGGCAGAAGTCTCATAGTAAATGCTAAATATGATTATTTAAGGACTTACTGGAAAACATAAAATATTATTTTAGATGGCAAGGTGAAAAATGGACATGTGAAAATAATAATCCGTTTTTCTTGCTCATACCTGGCAATTTGTATTTTCAAATAAAATATTTTCTGTTAATTTATTTTCATTTTGTTTGCCAGTATATGTGGAACTTCTGTTTATAAAAAGTTATGGTTATGTTTTGTGTTCTACTGGTCTCCTGCTCTGATGATGTGACAGTTTTAATTTGTGTTTGCCCAACAGGGTAAGAGCATTGAATTCCCTAACTTTGATCCTGGTGTCCTCCTTCCTGAGAGCTTGGACTACTGGACTTACCCAGGCTCCCTGACCACTCCTCCTCTTCTGGAAAGTGTGATCTGGATTGTACTCAAGGAACCCATCACTGTTAGCAGTGAGCAGGTTGGTTTCCTGGGAAGTCTGCTTAGAGATAGAGCATTTAGTGGACCCTGAAAAGTGTGGTTTTTGAAGTCAGATACAGCTGAGATGTAATCGTCTTGCTGCTGCTTCTAGTCATGCAACTAGTGTCTAAATAGTATTTAGCAAATAAATAGTACTCAGTAAATTGTTGCTATTAACCATAATCTCACATAGTTTGTTTAGTATGTAAAATTGGATGGTCATTGTAAGGATTAAATGAGAAAGATGTCTGTTAATGAATATATTCATTTTTTGGTTACCTGTGAAAAAATAGAAGCCTAGAAAATAGAAATTTCATACTGAAGGTTACATAGATGTGAGTGATAACTCCCAGACCACTGCTCACTGAAATGAGACCTCACAGCAGTCTTATACGTATAAGAATGTATTTCTGAATCCTGACAAAGGAGAACAAGTATCTATAAAACTCACTCCAGCTTTCTGTAGAGGCTCAGACCAGGTGTTCTTACCTTAAATGATTATTACAGCTTTCAAGACACTAAGGAGTAGGCGCAGAGGTGGATCCAAGTGAATTTTTCATAGACTGTGTCTGAGCACACAGGTGAATGTGGAAAATGGCCATTTTTTAGGATTCACAAGAGGATGGATCTGAACAATTTAAGGAGAGAGTCAGCAGCCAGCGTTTTTAAAAAATGACTTGTTGAGGAGTTGTAGTATTGTTTAAATCACAAGATTTGGAAACATATAAGTTTAGATATACAGTGCACAAGAGAGATTGCATTGTCCAGCTCTATTATTTCATTGCCTAATATTGTGTTGATAAACAGTATGAGGTACAGGAAAATTGAAGTGCTTTTCACCCAGCTACCTCACAGTAGAATCAGGTCTGGGAACAAGGATTCTATTTTTGTACTTTCCCTTAGAATATTTACTTATGAATACTAAACATTGTTCACATCTCTCTTTAAAGGAAATCTATATCTAACTGGAAACTCACTTGCAGTATATAGCATCAAAGTGGGCCAAAAAAATAATCTGATTGACTGTTGTCCTTGTACTCAATATTTGAACAGGCTTCTTAAGTAGGGAAAGAATATAATGCTACTCATTTGTAGATGCAGTATTTGGGTTATGATTTTATAATATGAAAATGCCTTTTCTTCCTTCACTGAGAATATAGCCTGAGAACCAAAGTGCCTTTGATAGCTCTTATGTCAAATAGATTTATTGGATACATGAACACTTTTGGGGAAGGGCAGTGACCTACTCCATTAGTCCTTGTGCTTTGAACTTGCATTTAAGATAGAAAATGATATTAAACTAGAGATGATTACTGTACATACAACTACAAAGTACCAGTATAATAGCTGGGATATTTTTCATGTCATTTAACATGGAATCTGGAGGTAGGATCATGCTCAGCCCAGACAGCCAGACTGCTCTTTCTTCCTCTTTGTGATTTCCTTTACCTTGGCTAGTGATGACTTGGGTTGTTGGAAAAGCCCTTTGAGCATCACATCCAGATATAATCACCTTCTGAAGAGGAATAAAATAACTCTTCCTCTGGTGCTTTAGGAATAGAGATGCCCTTGCCTGATGGCTCCTAGCAAACACTTCATACCTCACTGGCTAGCACTGTGCTCCTTGTTCACTTCAGTAAGGGACAGTGATCATTATGGTCAGTTAAGACCTCAGATTAACCTCTCTTGCCACTTAAAGGAGAGGATAGATGTCTGTTAATGAGACAGTAGAGGGGAAATGGATGTTAGGTAAACAATATAAATGAATCTGCTACCTTGATTTTCTGTACTATCTGATGCTAAAATAATGAGTCAAATTGACCAATGTGAGAATGTAGTTTAAATGGTGAAAAAGGAGTATAAATCACTTACTCTATTTTGACAAAAAAGTTCGATTTGTTTCTTAAGCAGACTCTTCCATGTTCCAGGGATTCTGTTATATGACTCAACCCTAGGTGTCTATAGAGAATTTCTTTGCATTGTAGGAGCAATAGATTGTATATGTTTTAAGTGTTGACGTATATCAAAATTGACTTCCTGGGAAGGATGGAAGGAATATTACTCCATAAAAATGATCAAGTTAAAGGCCATAGGTTTATTGCTTCTATATGACCACCTAAACCACCCTTTTTCAGTTAGATCAAGTCTTGACAGGGAGGAAGGGAAATAGGACTTCCATGAACAACCTCAAAAAAAAAAAAAATGAGAGCCAGTTTGAAGGCTGCCTGTGTCACAGTAGTGGGCCAGGAAACTGAAACAGGTTCTAGGGCAATAAAAATCAGTGACAATGGTGTTATAACCCTGCCTGGGCAAATACATTCTTGGGTTTCCATACATTTAAGTGGAGATGCCAGTTGGTCACTCAGCTTGTGGAGCTTTCAGATCCCAGACCCTTTATCTAACTTTATAGATGCTGTACTTTGTCTTTCCTACAGCAGAAAACAAAATTATCATTTGAATCTAGAGCTGTTATTGTTGTCTTATATGTCTTATATGTTAGAGCTATGAACTTATAAACTTTTGATGTCTGATTTAATATGAAAATAAGCTCATTGAAATTTTTCTTTAAAATGATCCCAGTGATTTTATGTATTGTGTACAAACTGGTTTGTTATATGAAAGCATATAAAATTGATATATGACATACAGATTACATGTAATCTGTATGTTATTTTATATCTATTAGGAACCAAATTGAGTTCTGATCATTGATACATGGGACTGTGAATATTGGAGAATGTATTTTAAGATTAAACATATACACATAAGTCAACACTATTGCAAAACTTCAGTTTCTAATTTAATTTTCTTTTATTGTCTCATAGATGTCAAAGTTCCGTAAACTTAACTTCAGTGCTGAGGATGAACCTGAAGAGCTGATGGTGGACAACTGGCGGCCCACACAGCCACTGAGGAGCAGGCAAATCAGAGCCTCCTTCAAATAAGATGGCCCCAGAGTCAGCATCCACATGAGGAATCTTTGGGTGTTTCCCTGTAGCTAAGCACAAACCTACCTTGGTGGTTTGGACCCCAGCTGCTTTTCTAGACCCTTCCTTTCTCACCTGATGTGCTTCCTAATAAAATGTGAAGAGCAAGGCCAAGTGTCACACTTGATGTGATCCCAAGATGCTATATTAAAGAAAAACTTTTAAAATTCTTATATATTTGTAGCAAAGTTATCTTAAAGATGAACTATGTTGTAATTTAGTGACTTTTGAACTTTAGGGATTTAAATGAAGTATATCTGTAAAAATTGTTATAGTTGTGATACAGAGTATATTTCCATTCAAATGATACCATAACTTAATAAATATTGTATTTTGGATATATTCTGTAATAAAATTCAGAATCCTATTTTAGGTTATTTTATTGTGTGTGTGACAATGGACAATAATGGAAAAACAAATGCCAACTTTCACAGTCCATATCAATTCATTATTAATGGTGAGCCGTCATAATTGGCTTACTCATAACTGGAGGAGTCTCCTTAAAGGAAAAACCCTGGAGGTCATTTACTACTTGCTAACAACTGCTTTAAGTGCTTTACGAGCACTTACTCATGTAATCCTCATGACAACCTGAGGATTAATAGTGTGGGGACAGAGAAATAAACACATTAAATACGACAAGGTAAAGAAAGGGGGATGCACTGAATCGATACAAGCTCCTGGAAAATAAAGTTTATCATATTTAAAAGGGAAATTCAGGGAGTGCTCTAAATTAAAAGGATACTTTGGATTTTAGAATGATAATTTATATCTATTACATATAGGAAGACGAAGAGTGAATAAGTGAAAGAAAAATCCTCCTCTCTTCAGTCTGTTCTGAATTTAGCTCTGTGCCTTGACCCTGGGCTGCTTGGTTAGTGTGATACTGGAGGGCCGTGGTGAACACATAGCTCAGGTTCTACTCTATAGGGGCTAAAAACTTGGTTACTTCAGACAGAAGTTTTTCTAAGCTATTCACACTCTCACCTGCTTTCCTAAGGCATTATGCTGAGTTGTAGGCCCAAGTTTGGTGGTTTGCTTTGAACCCCGGCTTTTCTCAGCCTCTCTGGTCCTGGTTCTAAGGAGAGAGCGGCAGTAGAACAGTAGCTCTTCCCCACAGTTCATCCCATTTCCTTGGGGCCAGTCTCATCTCCAGTAGCAGTAAACGTTCACTGGAGGGCATTTCAGTCTAATCTGGTTTAAGTATGTTTTTAGCTTTCTTGTTCCTCACTCTCCCACCAGCCCATATGGATGGTGCCCAGGGAGAGCACCCTGGATCTGCAAGCTGTCCCCAGATCTTTGTTGCCCTCAGCTGAGGCACAGCAGGCCCAAGCCAGCTCAGGCCTCTGTATCTGCTGCTATGGGGTCAATTTCTCTGGTCTTTGGAGGTATCTGTAGCCTAATGCTCATCACTGCCATTATCTCTAGTTGCAATGTCCTGTGTTCTCCTATCAAGACCCTGGGGAAGGGTGCAGATGAATGGAAACGGGAATAGGGAAGGCCCGGGTAGGATCACACAGGGACAGCTTACCTCTTCTGGTCCAGGTGCTTTGCTTCAACACCCAGATTTGAAGAAAGAGTGGGGAAGCAAAGGCACTAGTACTTGGTATCTTTGCTTACTTCTTCTCTCCTCTGCACACTGGGTCTGGAAGTTTGGGTGTCCCTTCTTCTGTGTAACAGTGGCTTCCCTTATGCTTTTTTTTTTCCCTCTGAAAAGAGCATTTACTTTGACTCCTTCCTGGATCTATAATAGTAGACAAAATTTCCAGAAAGAAAATTGGCTTCACAAGGAAAAGCTACCAGTAAATATTTCATAATTAGTGTCCACAGGATTATAGATATGCTATCACTAAAGACATCGGGAGGTTTCCAGCCCATTTGGTAAAATCTAGAAGACATTTAATTTGTGTCTCCCCTTTTCTCTTTACATTGTCTCTGTTTCTGATTTTCACTATAAAGGCTAGGTAGTGATTCACCATGTTTAACAAAGATGGCATCATTACTTTTCATCTAGTATGCTTAACAACTTATTTTATGGAAAGATAAAAGAGAACTCTGAGGGCTCTGATTCTGAAAGGTTCACATTCCATAAATGGGAAATCAATCGTGCAATTTCCATTATATGTCTGAGACCCTGGGAGTTGAGATACCCATTCTATGGGACTTGGTGGAACCACAGAATACTGGCTAGAGGATGCATCCAACATACCCAATGGGATTATGTTCTTTAGAGCATTACACAGTGCCTGGACAATCAAGGACAAGTATTACTGGTAAAGATATTTGGACAGAGGTGAAGAGAGAGAAGGAACCCTCAGCAGATAGGATGTACCCTGTGGATTCTAAGCCAGGACCTTTCCCACACACCCTCGATCTTTGAAATTCGGGCTGTTCCTGATGTTTTTGGAGAAGGTGTACTTCTCAGTCCTTTCAGGAATAATGATTCTGCCTCTTTTGGCAGAGGCCAGCACACCCTCCCAAAGCAGGTCTGTCTAACTCTTTGTTACTTTTCTGGTCTGGCATTTTCTCTTGGCCTTCATGGACCTGAGTTTCTGCTTCCTAAATGTTTTCAAGTCTGAATGCTTTGTGTCTGGAAGCCTATTCTCAAAACTTTCTGGCAAGAAGAATCATGCTTTTCAATTCTGAGACCTGTACATGAAGCAAGTGTAGAATTTCACAACAATTTTATGTGCACACCCATCATGGCTGGCAGTGTTTATGATGTACAAGGTATTTTACACAGTATATCGTGGTAAGCTACCTGGTTCCTTTTGGATCCAGTATTAAGGTAGAATGAAGTGTTGTATCACCTCTAAGCCATATGCCCTCAACAGAGAGAAAAATTCAAATATTGCTGAAGTTTTCATAGAGAGGATAGAAGTGTGGTTTCATATCACAGGTGTACAACATTTCATGGCCCAATTCCCATTCATCAATGGTCCTCTTTCTCCTCAAGTATTCCAAATCTCCCCTGGATGCAGTTTACTGTCCCTAGAATCTCACTTGGGCCTTATTTTCTTCTCAGTTTCTAACACAGAATAATTTAGCTTTACCTTTCCAGCCTCCTCCCACCTAATACACACATATATTGCCACACATGTACTCAAACTCATGCATGCATGAACATACATACGTACTGTCCCTTGATAGTCTACCTCACTTCAGCATGCCAAAGCCTACCAAAGAAAGGTCATTCCAGGTTCAAGATCTACTGTCCATAAAGGTGGCAGGAGAATTACACAGATTTATTTTTCTCATTACTAATAATTTTTTTAAATTTAAATTTATTGATATATTTTAGGTACACAATATGACATGCATCATTGGAAATTTGCACCTTTGCATAATCTCTCTTGGTTCTTATTTTTTTCCCACTTCCCCTGCCCTTCCTTCAACCCCTCCATCCCTCCCTATTTATAAAGACTTTCTTTCCAGTTTTTCATCTTCTCACATTAATTCCACTCCCTTCTTTCCTTTCCCCTACCCCTCCCACTTCCCCTTCCCCTTGCCCCTTTTCTTCCTATTTCACATTATCTATTATATCTTTTAGTCCTTATTTACACTTTCAGTGTCTCACACTAGAGAAACTATTTGGTATTTACACGTGTGTCCTATTTATTTCACTTAAGAGTATTGCCTCAAGGTGCATTCATTTAGGTATGAATGTCTCTAATTTCTCATTTGTTATGGCTGAGTAGTACTCCATTTGATAAAAAAAATCCACATTTTCTTTATCCAGTCTTCAGTTGATGGGCATTTGGGCTGTTTCCAAGTTTTAGCTATTACAAACTGTGCTGCTATGAACACGGGTGCACATATATCTCTGTGGTATGATTCTTTTAATTCTTTGGGGAAGATCCCCAGCAGTGGAATAGCTGGGTCAAATGGAACTTCCGGTCCTA